TTCTTGTGTCAAACATGTGCAGAGTATCATTATAGCGTCTGATGGTTTTAAAATTCCTGGTTGCGTGAAATATATTTGTGAGAATATCTTCTTGAGATTTTAGTAGTCACGTTTTGTTTGTAGTTTACATTTTATTTCTTTCATGTAATTATCGTAAATAATAGTTATTCAATAATAGATAGTTCATCCATATATTCGTACTTTGACGCGAAGCGCTCTGGATTATGAGATGCTCGATGACCCTGGAGGGATCGATTTTGCTTACTGAGCAGAAAATCATGGATTTAACCCCAAGCTCTTCCACAGCACAATAAATCGCCACCATCATTTGTATATTTGATATTGAACATTAACTTCGGAAACTATTTACATATCAAGCGAAAACGTAGCCCTGTATTGTCGCGAAGCGTTATGGTTCTGAGATGCTCGATGACCCTGGAGGGATCATGTTTGCTTACTGAGCAGAAAATCATGGGTTTAATCCCAAGCTCTCCGTCATGACTCTTAAAATTCATGATCACTAAACAAAATGAATATGTTCTTTCGATAGCCGGCTATCGAGAGATTAAATAAACAACAAATAAACAATACATACTTTTGGTTGCATCGCCAATTTGAGGTGAATTCTAACCGAATACCCTACCCAACCCTCCAACTCCGTAGCACTTATGAGGGTGTCGCTAAGTCGGTGGCCTCTCGTTAAGTAAGTACTACATCAACATTTCCTTCCCTATCCCTAGTTATGGTAAAGATGGGCGTGGCCGGGAATAGCGGCAGTCATGCTTCTGTTACTCTTGTTTAGATTGGAACCAATGTTTACTCCGCAGCATTATTCCTGAAAGTAGTCCAATCTACAAAGTATATCATAACAACGCTAACGCTAATAGTTCTATCATTTGAGTTTTCATTCGTTTGTGGTACTTTTTTTTATTTGGGAATCCATTTAGAATGTAATAGTTTTTTTGTATATATACCTTAACGTGTTTATGGCGCACGAGCCATGTAAAATTTAACATGTTTTTTTTATTTTTCCCTGAACTTATCTACCAGGAGCGGTAGCTATTTAAATTAAAAGTATTTGTTTTTAATCTTTCCATGGACGCTAACCACTTAAAATTTCAAGATTTTTTTAACCTGAAACGGATTACAATGGACGCAATTTATTTCAAGTTTAATGTTTTTCCCTGAACATGTCTGCCAGGGGCGCTAGCATTTTATATTTTTTTCCTTGATCATATTTTCCAGGAGCGTAAGAAATAATAAATTTAAATTTTTCTTTAAACTGATCTACCAGAGACTCTTCAAATTGAACGGTTTTAATCATGTTAACCATGCCTAGCCAGTCATTTCAAATATAACCTTTTATTTTTTTGACCTAGGACTACGGCTGTGATTTCTATATGGGGTTACACTTTGTGAAAACCGAAAATGGAACATGTAACGAAATTATGAAAGATTTCGAACGTTAATAACTCAGCTGCCCCTGGACCAATTTCAATGATTTTATCACCAATTGGTAATAAATATTTCTACACATCGATAGCATAGCTTACTACTGTTGATTTAACAAGAAACTATTGAAAAAGTGGAAATTGTCAAGTATTGTCCAAAAGCGTCGAAATAACTAACAAATCCACCAATCACGTACATGCATATGCTGCTTCCCCAACACTGTCATCAGAGAATCGCTTCTAGACGAAACATGTCGATGTCGCATTGCTGCTTCCCCAACACTGTCATCAGAGAGACGTTGGAAGACGAAACAAATCGAAGTGACATTCGCATCCGATCTTCGGGCGTGTGCAAATAGGGAGGATGCAATTGCGTAACATTTTGCACACTCATCGCCATATTCAGAACCACACAAAATGCTCTCCAGAGTTGTAATCTTGGACCCAAACCCGGAAGCAGGGATGCAAGTGATTTTGATCGATTCTCTTCATCGACTTTCTGTTGTTTCGTTAATAACTCGATGGCACACACATTCATTGATACGTTTGTTGTTCTGAATGGTAGAAGAGCATAGCAAATATAGTGCGAAATAGGTTAGTGAAGCTATGGTCATTAAAAGAGGAAATCGATGAAGAGAATTGACTTTCCCCCCTCTGCTTCTAAGCCCCTTAAATCAGTTGTCGTCTTAACAATGAAAACTAGTATCGCACCGCTTTTGGTTCTTGGGTTACACTTGCTGGTTCAATTCTACTGTTCGGCATTTCCGAAGGACCACCAAAAAACATGAAACTACACTATTTTCTAGGGATGCCTACAGGTCGAATTATTCTATTAACGATTAAACGTGAAGATTTTTCCAGCAATTCGATCAAATTTTCAATTATTCGAGCGCGTAACCGACATCCCCTTTTATTTCTACTCGTTTTATTTAGCGCAGAAGAGAAAATAAATAAAAGTACTTATTTATCTGCACAGGCATAAGGAAGAACTATGACGTGAAACAGGATCGTTAATTCGCCGAAACAATTGATAAGCTTCTTTCTGCCAAAGGCTAATATTTACCAACTTGTTGAAAGAAGGAGTTTAACGAGAAAAACTAAAAAGGGGAGGAGGTTTAGCTGGGTGGACACTAATATTTTGCGGCCTTTCAACGTTTCGCATACACCAGTTCAACCCCTGTCCAGCAGCAGACGGGCAGAGACTCTTGCGAGTGCCCAATCATTGAACCGATTTGCAGATCCAGCTGCCTACACGTCATCATCATCTTCCAAAAGCTTTTAGACTGTACTACCATTGTCGCTTTCCAGGGCCACCAAGATTTTCCAAAAGAGTTAAATTTCTGAACATGTTCCAACTAAAATTCATATCAAAAGGCTCTTTTCAAGGCAATCATAGTCATACTAAAGAGTATAAACAGAGAGAACCCCGCTCAACTTCCTATTCCTACACAAAACACAAGCTCCTGCTGCAGTTAAAAAATAACATTTGTTATATAAGACGACGTAGTTCTACGTCATCATTGCGTACAGCCCCATAGGGCTGTCCCGTGTAGTTTTTTTTTTTTCAGAACGTGTTTATCAGGGGCGCAGCCATTTCAAATTGAACATTGTTCTCAATTGATCAAATTTTACGATTTGAAAATTTTCCCTGAACATACCATTTCAAATTTACTGATTTTTCAATTTCCTCCTGAACATGCATATTAGAGATGCTAGCTATTGGATTGAATTCCTGCATTTTACCTATTTTGTAATTTAATAAAAAAAATCAAAAATGGTACAGGCATGGAATGCTCTCAAATAAAATATCCAAAGTTGGAAGTACTCTAAGAACACTAAGTTGAGAGCTGGCGCAGAGTCCCAGGAGGGATATAATGAGAGATGAGAAAGCTTGATGAATGAAAATTGAATTTGAAGGATTTTGTAAAAGAATAAAAAGTTCGTTACTGGTCCAATTTGAATTCATAATATATTAAACAACTTAAGGTTCAGAAATGTTCAGGACTCTAATAGCACACTTGTCACAATCTGGTTGATGTATCTGCTATAGGACTTACAATCACAATCAAGTTGTTTATTTGACGATTCAATATTTTCTATTAAACATTCCCACGTAACATTGCAAGCTTTATATAGATTTTATAGCATTCTACAAGTCTAAATCATGGTCTACAGAACCATAATAAAACCAATGATGCATAACTTGTCAAGATAATACTCAAAACTTCATTTCAATGTATTTCAACATAAACTAACATAATCGCAACTTGAAAAGGCATGTTTTGATAGTTAAATTTATCATGTAAAAAAATCTAGAATCTAAATTTTGAGCTGATTGCTTACTCTGAAGCGGAGTCCTCTAGGATTTTCCAATATATACAATCATAAGCGATATTACCGATTGTGCTTTTTGAAGCATTTTAAATGTGATGCAAAAGTTATACTCAACCTTTACAATCAAAAACTAGAAGCAATTTTTAATCGATTGGAAGCTGTTTCATCAAAACCGGTCATGAATTTTATGGATTGACAGGAAAAGACGCAATGTAAGGTAGTGATCATAACGAAAGTAACGATTTGCGACGTTTAGGCAAACGTCCCAAACACCATGCAATCGATCAATTTTAAATTTACAACAAACCAACATTTCCAAAGATCCCAGCACCATCTCATGTCACCGAATGTCCCGTGCAATCCATAATCATCACCGAAACGAACTGCATAAACTCCTCTCAGCACATATCTCAAAATCTGACAGGACCTCTCAACACACACACACACAAACACTGCCAGTTATCTCCACGGACGAATCAATCTCCAAAACAAAATCACAACTCCCCAAAAAATACTTCAACCGCAGCAGACAACCGGTCTGGATTCCCACCCTATACCGTACCGCCTCCCTCTGTGCTACCCTCAACTCAAGTAACACACGGCACACCGTGGCAATTCCATTCAGCAGATTTACTGCCCCCTTTTTAGTCCCCATCCCTTCATCACGAAGATAAAACCCAATCACTTCACTCAATTAGTCGCCACGCTTCCACGCGACTCCACCGTCGTCCTCGTCGTCATCGTCGTCATCGTGGTCGTTCCGGTTAACTCAATCTCAATTTATAGGTATCGTGTGTACAACGACCTGATCGATCGATCGTTCGATCGAGAGATCGCACAGCATAAGAAGCCCAAAATCCACGAAACGAAAGAAAGCAATTCAAAATAATAAAAAAAAATGTTCCAAAAATCCAGCAGACGCCAGACCCGGCGTTTTTTTTCATCATCGTCGTCGTCCATGCGTTCGTTGCTGCATCGGACGTCGTCGAGAGAGGTATTTTTATGCTAAACAGGGCAGGTGTTTTTCGATGTGGCGTTTTCCCCGCCAGGTGACTGGCAGGCAAACCACCGTCGATCAATCGATTCTGCCGGTGTTTTAGTTTGTTTTTAATTTCATAGCTTCAGTCGAAACCATCGAGGAAGCAATTCCGGAGGTACCATCATAACTATGCCGATCTTTCCCAACCCAACGTTACGTGTATGTCTGATCCTCACCTTGAACTGAATGATGCTGGTGTCGTCCGGTGCTGCAGCCGGAACCGTTGCTGATGGTCAAGGTTCACCTAGCACGACTCCTACGGGTGTCCTTTCCGCTTTCGAAAACGTCCGTTTCCTCACTCGAACTTGTCTAGTTTTAATCCTTGTTCAAACGATCACTTGTAGGCTTCCTCTTCTCACACGCACACAATCCACTATTTTTTTTTTCCAAATCCTTCAGAGTTAGCCTCGATCCACCAACGATAATCACACTCGAATCAAACCGATAGCCAATCACCTTTCGCAAGATTCGTCACGCGATCACCTCTTAGAACCACCTGTCACGATTGCGCGATCACTTGCAAGCGAGATTTTCGTCGAATCCTAGCCGGCAATCGCGATCATCATCGTCTTCCATTCGCCAGGATCAAAATTCCAATTCCCAAACCAACGAACACCGAACACAGAATCAGAGATTCAAGATTTTCTCGATCGCAAACAGCGAAGGATCGAAGGGAAAAGAACGTCCGCTCGATTGGGTGCCTCGCACCTGACTGATCCCAACGGTGGTGTCGATCGTCGCCAGCAAGGGTTTTTCTCGCTGCATTGCCCCAATCCAATCCACAATACAATACATACAACCATGGCACGGCTGCATGGCTGGACTCGGATTTTCTCCATGGCACGGCACGGTGGTGGCGATGATGGGGGATATTCATATTCATTCTGTAAAAAGAGAGTGCGAGAGAATTAGCCATGTGGAGAAACAATGGGAGAGCGAGAGCATAAAACACAGGATGGCACGCGAGTTCAATGAATGGAGGGTTTTCATTTATGCTTGCGATTGGGATTGCGCGCTACCGGCCGACGACACTCGTCCACACCGCATAAGAGCGGAGCAGCGCAGGTAAAAATCGTCATGAGAGCGAATGATGTGGGAAGAAAATGATGGACTTGAAAGAATGGGGAATACATAGGGGTGGTGGTTGACGATCCGATCGGAAACAGTTCACTCGGGTCGGGACGGGTGTGTTGAACTGCGTGGGGCTGTGGAAGGTGGCATAGGTAGGTACATATATGCTGGCTGGCAATTGGTGATTTCCAGGCATTAGGTGACAGTTGGAATTGCGTTGCCCGCTTGAGCTACCCGAGTTGACTTTTGATAGGTCTGGAGGGGGTAGAATCAGTGGAACACTAAGGCATTTAGAGAAATATAGTTAAAGCAGATTTAGGTTTGGTAAAACGTAATCTGATGAATTTTTGTTTTAGTAATTTTGCATTCTTTGATTTCATGGAACTATAATCCAAATTTCGGACTACAACGATGTACAATATCAATTTCAGTTGTAAATAGTACTGACTCCTCCCAATTATTGATTTGGCCAAAATTATTTTTATATTATTTTTTATTTGTCGTCAATCAGTGTAGCGTAAAACCCCTGCAGAACCGTTTCTGGGAGCTCTCATTAAGAATATTGATTAAATGTAGTGTCAGTAACAACCTTGTGATTGAAAACTTCGAAGAAATGCTCGAATTGAGCATCCAGTCTAGATTCGTGCGAATCTATCTTAATTATATGTCATCGGATATTAGCCTTCCTTGCTATAACCCCTCTCGTGTATGCTTTACTAACTACAGTTCCCCCATTGGCTATGATCTCTCCATGAAACAGGCTATTCAAGGAGTTCCAGATCAACTTCGACCTATCTCAATTCCCCGCATTTTTGCTGAAAAGTACCAACAAGTCAATTGCAATAGAAGATTTTTCACTGATGGATCACGCATTGATGGATCCACTGGCTACGGCGTCTTCAATGAATACTCAACCGCCTTTCGGAAACTTCAGGAACCTTGTTCCGTTTATGTTGCTGAGCTAGCAGCAATCAACTTCGCATTGTGGATGATTTTCGATATGCCCATAGACCATTACTTCATCTTCTCGGATAGTCTCAGTTCGATTGAGGCTATTCGGTCGATGAAACAAGGTAGGCACTCATCTTATTTCCTTTCAAAGGTAAGGGAACAGATGAGTTTGCTGGTCGAAAGATCATATATGATTACCTTTGTATGGGTCCCCTCACATTGCTCAATCCCAGGCAATGAGAAGGCAGACTCTCTCGCAAAGGTGGGCGCACAACAAGGCGAGATTTATGATAGAAGAATTTCACATGATGAATTTTTCCCATTAGTACGTCAGAGTTCTCTTTTAAGTTGGCAAAACGATTGGACAAATAATTCTCTTGGGCGGTGGTTACATTCCATTATTCCAAATGTTTCTTCGAGAGCGTGGTTCAAAGGTCTGGATGTAAGTCGGGGATTCACTCGAGTGATGTCAAGACTTATGTCCAACCACTACTCGCTAGACGCACATCTCTATAGAATAAACCTCGTTGACAGCAATATATGTAGGTGCAGAACCGGTTATGATGACATCGATCACGCAGTTTGGTATTGCCCGGGTAATGACGCCTCCAGAGCACGACTATTGGATACCCTAGTGGCCCGAGGTAGACAACCCTTCCGTGAAGTAAGAGATGTATTGGGAACACGTGATCTTCCCTACATGCAAGCGATCTACGAATTCCTTTGTTTGTCTGATGTTAGAGTTTGATGTGACTATCCCCTCCTTTCCAAACAATTTCCCGCCATTGTGTCCCAGTCTTATTATCCTCCTGTTCCTGTGCTACTTGCCCCTGCCCAGCCAGGATTTGGTCAACCGTCCGAGAGTAGTATCTGAAGGAGGCTTCAGAAACCAGTTTCCTACCTAGATCCTTCCAATTGAAATTGTTACCTATTAACCTCGAGCCCGCCACGAGTAATTGGTATCCAATACTAACCTAGAAATACTGCTATTTAAAATGTAAATCAAACATTACTGATTTTGGCTCCGCAAAGTGTCACACACGACTGAGCCTAGTAAATAAACGAACTAGTTAAAAAAAAATCAGTGGAGACCGTTTTACAATACAGTACTTGTTCGCTAGCTGGGAAAAAGCGTAGCCCAGTTTCGCTAACTGGGCTGGCTTGTCAAATGTCAAACAACACTGAGGGGAGTATAAATAGAGAGAGAAAGATTAGTCATTTCCATTTAATTCCACTACCTTATTTGCTTATCCTTGACAGATACGCGTATTTAGTCTACAATGTGCAGACTTCTTCAGTTTCTTGTACTAATACTCGACTACAATTGATTGTTTGATCAACGTTAAAAACAATCATGTGCATTGAATTTTTTTTTTTTTTCACAGCATTCAATCTCACTAGTTTAGAAAGATTTAATGCTTTTGTTCATAACGCTTTTAAGTATTGATTTCAGTGTGAAATGAAAATAATTTCAAATTTATTTACATTGTCACTTAATATTTGGATAGGAAATTTCGTATTTCGAATCCACCTTTTGAATGGACAGCTTCAGGTCGATCCACGAAGCGATCGAAGTGGTAAACGAAGTGAAGCTTGTCCATTCAAAAGGTGGATTCGAAATACGAAATTTCCTATCCAATGAAGAAGAAGTGCTTAGGGGAATCGGAGTAGCGGATGCAGAAGTCTCGAAGGATCCCTCTCTTATACGGGCGGAAACAACTGAATCCGTGCTCGGCATGAGGTGGATTCCCAAAGAAGACGTCTTCACCTATACCTTTGCAATGCGCAATGACTTGCAACCAATCCTCAACGAAGCCCACATCCCAACAAAACGCGAAGTACTGAAAGTCGTCATGAGTTTATTTGATCCAATGGGTTTTGTATCGTAGTTCTTAGTGCATGGAAAGGTGCTGATGCAGAACATCTGGGCAACAGGAATCGATTGGGATGAAGCGGTGAACGAGGAACTGTACGATCGTTGGCGACATTGGATTGGTTATTTTCCCCAGCTGGATACCTTGCGAATTCCACGGTGCTACTTTCAAACACCTATCCCATAAGTCGACGAGTTTTTTGGAGTGACTCCAGTACAGTACTAGCCTGGATTCGATCAGACCACCGTCGTTACAACAAATTCGTTGTTTATTGTTGTTGTTTATTGTTTATTGTTGCCATACATCAACAGGCTGGCTGTAGCCCAAATGATGTTAATAATACTAATCATAAAAATAATAACAGTAAAATTACATGTCAAATAATCACAGAAAGAAAAACAAAGCAACATGGTCAGAATGTAAAAAAAACATAAATAGAAATACACTAATTTTCTCTGTCAGTCACTGCGGCCGGCGAAAACAGATGAGAATCTCCGACGAAGCGCATCACGTGTGAGGTGAAAGTCGAATACAGATGCGACTCTATTGAACACACGCTGTAGTCCACAAATCGCACCATATGCCCCGTAGTTCGTGCGACGCAGTGGCAGTCTCAGCATGAGGTTGTTACGGAGTGGTCGGGGTTGCACGTTTAGGTCAATTTGCCTTAGGATAGCCTCACAATCTATTCGTCCCTGTAGAGTGTCGGCGATAATCAAAGCTCTGTTGGTGTCCCTTCTAATCCGGAGAGGTTCAAGGTTTATCAGTTGACAGCGACTCTCGTAGCTGGGCAGCCGAAGCGGATCTCTCCAGGGCAGTCTACGAAGCGCAAAACGAAGAAAGCGACGTTGAACAGATTCGATTCTCTCGGCACCATTGTTGTAATTGGGATTCCAAACCGCAGAACAATACTCAAGCGTCGATCGTACGAGGGAGCAGTAAAGAGATTTTAAGCAGTAGACATCGGTGAAATTCTTAGCTATCCTGAAGATGAATCCTAAAGTCCTAGACGACTTATTGATGACATAAGAAATGTGTTGCCTGAATGTTAGCTGTGAATCCAACACCACACCCAGGTCTTTCACCTGATTCACGCGTTCGAGTGTCGTTCCAAGCAGGTCATAGCTGAATACAATCGGTTGCTTTTTTCGTGAGAACGTTATGGCAGAGCACTTTGCTGGGTTCACTACCATTCGATTTAAAGTACACCAACTGGCAAAGACATTAAGCTGATGTTGAAGATTGTGGCAGTCAGCGATCGAGCAAATTCGTAAAAATATTTTGAGGTCGTCTGCATATGCTAATCGAGGTCCTTCGATAACCAGGTTCACGTCGTTGAAGTAGAGTAGAAAAATCAACGGTCCCAGATGGCTTCCCTGCGGTATACCT